GCATTCCTATTCGTGTGCTTGGACATAGTCAGATATTTACATGCTCGAAAAGAACTCTGTCTCTTTTAGGTATCCCTTACATCCCTGTTTTTTTTTATTGTTTTTATAGATCTGCATTTATTACCTGTTGTGGACAGTGACACTGAGTCCAAAGCTTACCTTAGAACAAGAGATTACTACTGTGAAAAATTGGAATTGCCCTGCAGAATGTATTTGTCTTTCTCCAAAGCAGGTAATAGTAGTATTTACAAATAAGAGAAAGAAACAATGAAACATAATTTTTTCAAATTAATAAAAATCACTATAAAGATCATATTCTTTGATAGTTTCTATAATAATATCACAGTACTATAATCAAATTTGGGCTAAAGATCGATTAGTTATTACCATGGATTAAATTTGATGTTTATATGCAATTAATTAGGCTTATGGAGAATAAATGTCACATGCAATATCAACTAATTGTATACTACACTATTCTATGTATAAACATTCTAATACAATCTAAAAGGGTTAATTTACAAAACTTAATTGAATATTGACATAAATGCACAAATGCTTCAACAAAAAGATAAGATTACAAGAAATAAATTAGGCAAATAGAAATCAAATGCAGCTTACATTACTGTAATTTATCAATTTTGATAATATACTGACAAAAAAGGAACTTTTTGAAAACAATAAAATAACACTTTTAATATCTAAAACATTTTTTTTTTTCTTCAAATATTGTAACAAATTCGTAATAAATCAATCAACTTCACAGGTTCTCTGCAATACAGGCGGGCTAAAAGATATTCCTACTCAACAGCTGCCTCAAACAGTGGAAGAATTGTCATTGACAAAGAACAACTTTCCAGTAATAAAAGGCGACGCGTTCGCTGGTTTGAGAGTCTTACGAAAGTTAACAATGGATGGTAACAATATCTCGACAATACGTCCATTCGCATTTCGAGGTTTAAGTAAATTATACGAACTCTCCATTCAGCATACTCCGCTACCATTCATCGAAAAATTCTCATTCGCTGCTTTACAAAATGTATCGGTATTATTATTGGCGAATAACAAAATAGGATATATTGAGAACTACTCCTTCGCCGGTACATCAAACATTCGTGTAATCTTATTAAGCAATAACCCACTGCTCAGAATCCACAGTCATGCATTTTCAAGTTTAACAAATGTAGTTCGCCTAATATTTCCGACAGGAATCAGAACCATTGAGCCAGATGCATTCGATGGTCTCCAGCACGTTGGGCTTCTGAAGCTAACTTATATGGACTTATCTTCCCTTCAATCTTACACGTTTCGTGGCTTATCCTATGTGCAGTCTCTGAATATTCAGGAAAGTGATCTGGGAATCATTGAAAAAGACGCCTTCACTGGACTTACTCACGTAGATCGACTGAATATACTAAACAATAAAATTGATTTAATTGAGAAATTGTTTCTACGATACGAAAACAGTATCGAAATGTTAAGATTTCATGGAAACCATGTACTGGAAGCACCCCGTCACGCTAGAGACATCAACCTAGAAGTGAGCTCTATCAGTGCTATCGACAACCACTTTCCATGTGATTGTCAAGCTCATAACGTGCTGGAGAGCGATTTTGTCAATGGCACTATTAGCGAATTTCAAAAGAAGAATTATTGTATTTCGCCAATCGAATATAATGGGAAACCCATGAACCTCGTAGACTTTGAACTAATTGCCATGTGTCATGATAATGTTGTACAAGACAACTTGGGCTCTGGTGTCACTGAAATCTTTATGCTACCAACCACTTTGTTCTTTTTTCTTTTGTTATCTGTAAATTTTTTTTAATGAATTCAAGTTTACTTTGTAAGATTAGTTATTGTATATAATTATGGATCTAGTCAATTGTTATGAAGAGTTTTAGTCGGAATAGATTTATTTACAGTTTTTCATTTGCACAGAAATTATGTGATTATTCAATTCAACATATATTTTAATTTATTATTCTTATAGATTGTCAAGCCTAAAAGCAAAAAATGAAGAAACAATTAACTTTCTGAAATTATTTATTTATAATATTAATGACATATTTGATATAATAGTACCCATACTGATATGAGAAAGTAATCATTCTTGTTTTAGTATTTAAATAAGAACTTCCAAAAATAACATGTATCAAACCTCTTTCATAATTTATTTCTTATTTAAATCATGTTCGTAATAGGTCATTTCATATAATGCAAATAGCTCACAAAAATAAAATTTCAATTATATCTTATACAGAACAGACATAACTGTATCAATAGTAATTTATATAGAAATTTGCAGATCTATCCATGTTGTAGATCTATTCCATGATATTATTGACAAGAAACTTTTTTCATTGTTTGATTATTACAACTTGTACAATTTTAAGCATGCAACTATGAGCTTTAACTGACTCATGTAACTGAGTCCGTGAAACTGCATCCATTTTGGATTTATTCCATAAATAAGAGATGATTCCAAATATATGAGGTGTTCGCGTTTATCACATCATATCACGTTAATTCTTTGGTTTATACAAGCTTTCGTTCATTAAATTATTTTTAACCCATTCGAGGCTAAAATCTTATTGGGAGAATATTTCTAAGAACCACTAGTTCTTGAAACCTAATTAACTTTAATCGTGACTAATTTCTTTTTTTCTTTTGTCCAATTATAAACGAATGTTAATTTTAATGTTTACACATTTTTCTATTGTTTCATTTATGTAAAAGGTTATTTTCCCAATAGCTTTTTGTATACTAATGCATATCAAGTATTTAATAGTTCATTGATTATACTAATTGGATAATGTGTAAGATATATGAAATTAAATAATGTGTAAGACATCCACCTCGAATGTGTTAATTACTACAGAAATTTTATTAAATGCCTTAATATGAATAATATCTATTAATATAACTTCTTAATGTACCTTTGAGTGTATAAAACAAAGAGTTAACAAACAGAGTTTAATAGATAATTTTTGTCAACGATAATGAAAGTATATAGGAAATAAGGATATAATAAGGTCAACTTATTTAAGGATGCTTTGGTGAAAGAGTAAAATTTGCGTGATTTGGAGGATATAAATACCGCTGACTTATGCTTCATCTTGAAAAAAATTAACTCTCAGTACTAAACTATTCTTCTTGTATTTGTATGTTTTAAAAGTATTGCGAATTTATTTATATTGTATTTTCGTTTAATTTTTATCATTATTAAATTTAAGAAATTAGTCAGAAACATTTTGGTTTTCTGAGAGTTAATCAATCATGTGAATTCTACATGTGCATAGTCTTCCTTGAATACAAAAGCAGTCTCTAATAAAAAATTCGATTTTATTATGTATATTTAAAACTAACAATCTAAAATTTTCGGGAAAGATAGTTTTCTTTCTTCTAAATTATTGTTATTACTATTATATATTACCATATAGTTACTAAGATTTTTTGTTACTAGTTTATGAAAGTTTTGACTCAAATTTGAAAAACCATTCTTTTAACTACAAAGAAAGACGAGAGAGAAACATTTTTCCTCTTGTCATTTGTAAAGTCTGCGTGGCCTTCGGTCAGCATAATAACCGAGGACCAAACTAGCTTATATTTTTTACCAACATCTATCACATGATATATAACAAAACTTAATAAACACTGTAACCTTGTAGTTAGAACAGTCTGTCATTTAATAAATGATAAAAACATCAAGAATAATCTTTATTATACAAAAAAATATGTTTAAGCAAAAGTAACTTTAAAATTTATTGAAGCAATATACCTTTATATTAATCCTTTATTTAAATCCTTCTACCATCTTTAAATATAAACATTTCATTTTAAAATAGACTGCGTATTGAATGGTATTACTTCTTGGAATTTTTTTAGTTTAACATTATCCATATGTGGTGATAGATTCCATTCAAGAAGTTTTTCAAACTCAATTGGTGTTATTCCTAAATCTTCTAAAGTTGGTAAACTGGGATCTATATTATCACTAGTATGATGCTAAACAAAATTTAAAGAATATTTTTTTTATTGTAAAATTACTAATGCACAGTAATTTCAGCCAATTAAAAACTTGGAGTACACTTACAAATTCCAATGATTCATATAATAAATCCAAAGTAGGATGTATTGAATAAAATGGTTCTCTAAGATTAACTTTAAGCATAGAATATAAACCTTTCCAACCACTCGTTAAATCTATTATCTCAAATGGAAATTCATAAGCTTCATTTTTCATATGTAACATCATAGTAACTAACTCTTTTAACTTGTGTCCTTTTGGGCTAAAATAAATGATATTTTAAACCTCCATAAAGCTGTATCTGCAATATTATGTATACTACATACCCAATGAATTGATAAGTTTTACCAGCAGTATCAGGGTTTCTTACGATTGCTACAATGCCTGAAACTACATCAGAGATATACACTGGCCATTTTTCAGTTTCCTCTCCTTTTTTCCACAATGGTAGGTGCAAGCTATAAAACATGAAGTTTGTAAAAACTAAAATTAATAACAGCCAATTATTATTAAACATACTTCAAAACTGTTCTTTCCTTATGCATATAATGATTTATAAAGGAATCCCCTTGTCCATATACAACTGATGGTCGAATTATAGTAGCTTCTGGAAATTCTTCCTTCACTGCAAGTTCCCCTTCCCATTTTGTTTTTAATATTCTTGAACCTTTTTTCAATAGTAATGGCTTGAAAACAAAAGTATAATTTATATCATAAATAATTGTCAAATGATATTGATAAAAGCAATAAAACAAGGCATAGAATGAATCAGGTTACAAAATTTATATATTCAAACATACTGCAAAGTAAAGAAAAAATATTAAGGAGAACCTAAAATTTGGGTTAAAAACATAAAAAATTATTCACTTAACCTACCTTAGGTGTCTTGTTCACATTCAAACATGACATTTGAATAAAACGTTCGACGTTACATTGTTTAGCAAGCTTAGCCAATCTTCTTGCTCCTTCTACATGCACATCTTCAAAACTATAATTTGATGTCTCATATTTTGATCCAATCAAATTAATGACAACATTAGAGTATTTTATGGTTTTGATTATAGATTTCTCATCCTTAAGATCGAATGGTTGAAAGTAAACTTGTCCAAGATCTCCACCAACTTTTAGCTCTTTAACATAATATGGATCACACCTATGGGGAAGAATGAGCTGTAAAAGATACACAATACACATATAATTTCAACAGTTTAAAAATCATACGTAAATAATATTTGTATTTGCTTGCCTGAGTTCCAATTTTTCCTAGCCTAATACATAAATTAGATCCAATAAAACCATTGCATCCAAATACTGTACAAACTATACCATTAAAAGAGCTACGACCACCAGTACCCCTTTTTAAGCTGGCAGTAGTAGGATTTTTAATAATCCTTGGTTGTGAGGAATAATTATAATTCTGTATAATGTAGGTAACAGGGTACACATTTTGTTTCTCTGTATAATTCGTATAATTCGAATCATTATTATTACATAATTATAATAAATATTGATATATTTAGAATGCACATAGATTTTGAATTAATAATTGTGCTAAAATTATTACTATTATAAAAATGTCATTAAAATAAAATAATAAAGAAATGGAAGTAATAAACTTACTTATCAGACGTACAACTTTGGGAAACCAAGCCGCCATATTTATCATTCTTTGCCTTACGAATAATGGCGGAGTAGTTAAATGAGCTTATACATGTTTTTAAATGAAAGTTATGTTGTAAATACACCCTAAAGTTATATAATATATATAATAAAAATATTTTATTTTGAAAATCTCATTTAGTTAAATGTAAAAGTGGATTTAAATGTTCGAAAACTTTTAATTGAAGAAAATCATGAAAGTTTTATTCAACATAGTAACTTTTAACCCTTATTATAACCTTTAGTAATAGTTCACAATATTTTACTGATAAATGAACTAAATATACTATTCTGGTATAAAAATTGATATCATAGAAAGTATTTTTAAGTATTTGTGTAAAATGAAATAATAAATTATTATAATTTCTTCAGTGATTTCGATTTAGAAATTCAGTGATTCGATTTCGATATTTAGAAAATGAAAAATGTAATAAATATAAAAAAAAAAAATTTTATATAAATAATTAATTTTTACTTAACTGTATATTGTACTTTATTAAATTGTACAAAATATACATTTCATAATTTTTTCTCTTTTTGATAAGTAACTTCATTGGATTGTAAAAACATATAATAATAAAGTATCCAAGAATAAGCTATGCCTATAGCACAATATATAGAAGTAAAAGCTAAAGGTAAAAATGGTAGCATTTCACCAAATATTAATTTATGTATTATTGTTTCATATACTGTTAATACTGGTAAATTAATCACATATATGTATTCATGACAAGAAAGTAAATCCAGCTTAAATTTCTTAGAGAAAGCTAGGAAAGATGCAATCATATACACTAAAAGTAATAAAATTTTCAGTGGTGTTAAATTACTTAAATAGAGTAAAGGTAAAAGAGCTGTATGTCCAGCACTGCTCAAAATTAGATAGATTCTAGCATCATTTTTATTACTTGCTGCCAATATGCTAGAAAATATATAAAAATTGTTTGACATTGTATTTAATCAGTTTTATTTTTTACTTACCACAATGGTATAATAGCAGTTAAAACAGCTTTCTCATGTACATGCCAACCAAACATGAAAGAACTCAAAGCGCAAAGAACTAAACATCGTATAAATTGCTTTGGATTCATGTAGTCTTTTTTAGTTAGTAAACAGTACAATGCAGGCTGTAATTTATATAATATTAAATATAATGATAATATTATAATTAACAGACATAATATAGTTTGGTCATAAATTAAAATATTGAGGGACAGTATTAAATGATGTAACTACTATTCTCAGATTCATATGCATTTTATAAAAATGCCTTGAATATCAGATTACAAAATTATTTGTGAATTGGTATTTAAAATTTACTCATATTACACTTTACTGTGCAAAAAATAGCAAATTATGTATTTTTAGACCTTATTTTCCAAATTATAAGCTAAATAAAATTTGCTTAAATATTCTATAAAGAAACAAGCAATTTAGAGCTGATAACAATTCTAAATGAGATATAAATACTTTATTTCTATTTATGTGTATTAAATTACCATTTTAACTTTTGAAACAAATTTTAATCTCACTAATTTTATAACCTCATTATATCATTTCCATTAGTTTCCAATTTTATTTCCAAAACTACTGGAGAACTTAGTACTTACCATCATTGTAAAAATAGTTAATAAAAATGTTATAAATGGAGTAGGAGTGGGTAGAACTAAAAATAACTGTTCTTGTACTAAACCACCAGTCATTACTGCTGATCTTGCAATTTTCATCCATCCTAATTGTTTTAAAATTAAAGCTGTTACTTTATCTATACCTATATATAATGCCCAAACATTTGCTGCCCAATACGCATGTACTAAACCTCTTTTAAATGGGAACAACCTTGAAATTATCTAAAATAATTATAATCAGTTGAACAAAAAGAATATAATTTAATATTATTGTTTACCTGAGGTAATTGTGAAACAAATGGACCAAATGAAATTATCAAAGTAATAATAATTATGATTCCAAGCAGACAGAAACGTTTGAAGAATGAACCACCATTCATGCAATATGATTTGAGTAACCAGACTACAAACACTGGTGCTACATATAAATAAATGTGTTTTAAATTCAGCAGCAAGGCAAACAACAGTGTTCCATATAAAATAGATATCTAGAAAATAAGTTATTTAATTCATATGTAGAAATAAAATTGCGTCTTATTTACCTGTTTATTAATTTTAGAAACATTTGCAATAGCAAGTAAAAAAATACCAAGTAAAAATCCATTATATTGAAAATGTATATGATCTACTATTATTAATCCCATATTGCAAAGTGAAAAAACTATGAAGATAACATATTCATCAAAGGTAGTACAAAGTACTTTTCCAACTCTGGAATTTCAAATGTAAAGTATTTAAATATTACCTTTTGATTAAGAAATATTAATATTATTTTAATGAGTAGCTTACTCTTTAACTCCATAAGCAAATATTAAATCTAAAACTATAACAGAGCCTCTTTGAAAATAAATAGTATTGGAGGATGCATAATTTAGGTTTTCCACCTTCAGCATATCATAATCTATGAATCTGGCTATTTGACTGAGAAAGTACTCGAACCATGCAAAAAGTGGTGGATAATCCAAAGTCCATTGTGATTTGGCATTTATATACCATTCTTTAAGTGACAAATTGTGTGTTATGGCAAGCCAATTACGATGCACTTCGAAATCTGTGGAATGACTAAACATCAAATAACATATAGAATATTAAATTAAAATAACAAAAAGGAAGATGAAAAAGTATAGCAATTTATTTAAAGGTATAAAAAGACATACTACGTAGGAATTAGAAGCACTTTGAAGCACGTGGTGAGAAGTAATACATGAAGAACAATTTTATTCACATTTCCTTCTTCCAACATGGAATTCATTTTTTCCATATTTTTCAGTGTAGAAAAAATATTATTAACTGTAATATTTACTATTAAAAAGTATCTCATGCGGCATTTTTAAGTAGGTTCAGAAAACTAAGCGGTTATCCAGTCCTACCAACACAGGTATTGTTGATATTCACTCCATTCTCTATAGTAATTTTTTTTAAATACATGGATTGTAAAAGGGATAAAAAGAAAAATCACTAAATCATTGATAATTTTTTCTACAAAAAATAGTTTCATTGTTATTTAATTTATAACATCCACGTGTTATTAAATATCAGTTCTCCTTAATTTTGCTACTTTACAATGTAACTTACAGTATAAAAAGGAAAACTTTCATACCATTTAAAATGCGAATTCGCAATGTTTAATCCTTTAAGTACCAAATTAAAAAAAAGTAAACTGAACGAATCAGATATAATTATAAAAAAGAGCATTAAATTCTTATGTAAGTTTTTTTCAAAAAATCTGATTCATATTTACAACATAAAATCATTTAAATCTTTAATATAAATCAAAAAAATAAAGGACAATTATTTTTTTCAGTTACAACTTGCAATTTTTTTTCTAACAAACGCTATACGAACTTGGCACTAAAAGGGTTAAGAGAATTTTTCCTAATACTTCTAATACTCATCATATAACTACTATAGATTTACCTATAGTACTCTGTTCTTTTTAACAAGTGAAAAAACAAATATTAAGGAGATATGTACATCAGTCGGTCGCAGTGATCAAGGATTGCGCTTCTAATAAACTTTCTGTTGCAAGAATGGAGCTATTCATGATCGGTGTGCTCACAGTATTTTCTGATTTTTTATTTGAAAACGGATAAAAGCTATCAATGTTCATTTGAACAGAATAGTTGTTTGATTTACCAGTAGGCGATCCACAATTGCCATTTATGTTCATCTTTAGTTGATTCACATCATTTTGTAACAATCTTGCGTAAAGCTCAATATGATTTTGTCCACCATTACAAATCTCCAGAGTCGGTATCCATCGAAAATAACACTGAGTCCAAAGCTCTAAATTAGCGACACTGTATAGGGGTTTTATCACACATTTTTCCTTGGAATCTGTATTGCGGAAATTATAAAGGGGATTATAAAATAATAAAATATCTTGATCGCTGAATTGTTCTCTCCAATCCCATACGCTTCGTAGAACAAGAGGTTTCTCTGGATCCTAAAAGACATGTATTATTAGAAATGATGCTTCTTATAGATTTCAAATATTTAATACAAAATTAGTATATCTGTATACTAAATATTATAGACTTTTAAATAAGTTACCGTAGCTGCCGCCACTCGATCTTTTTCACAATTAAAAATAAACGTATCGAAAATGGAAACATGAGCAGCATCCCATAGTGTTGTCAGGTACGTTTCCGTGAATTCGAATTCCGCTGGAAATTGTTGACTTAATTGCCAGATACAGTCAAGATATAAAAGGAATAATGGAGACTATAAAAAAGGAACAAAAATTGTTAAGTTATAAATAATTAGAATCAAGTCAGCTTTACCTTCTCTGATGTCCTCTTAACAATATGACCTAATCTATCACAAAATGGGTGTCCACCAGCAACCCATTCCTTTTGCAAAAGAGACTGAAATCCGTTTATTGTTCGAAAATAAGGGTCAAGTAATAATTGAACTAAGCTTGATATAATGCAACAAAGATCCGTGCCTGCACCTTCTGAAAATCAATTTTATTAAAATAAAAATAAAACATGAATTATATCAAAATATCACCTTGTAAAATAACAGAGGATCCTAAGTGGAGATGTTCACAAGCTTCAACAGCTTTTTGTAAACAGTATGATATATACTTCAACCATTTTGTGTTTTCCACTAGCGAATAAAAATTATTATCCTGTAACCAAAACTGTCTAATGTTTTCTGAAATTAATAATAAATAAATAAATAAATAATGAATACCCATAATCTTTATCAATCATAGTTTCAAAATGTTTTCTATGAATAAATTCAATTTACCTGGGGAACACAAAGTTGCAAATTTTGAAAACGCTATTGCTATTAATTTCACATTAATGCCTTTATTTAGCTCTAAAACGACTGGCGGCATTTTCTGTGGATGACTTTTACGAACGTTTTCGAACATAATGTTTTCTGGCATTCTATTGGTAACTAAAGGCGAAAGTTCAGACATTTTTACTAATGCTGCACCATGTACGTTTGACCAAGACCAAATTGGTGGGTGATTGCCTTGAAAGCGCTTAGCTGCATCCATTAGCTGACTATCAGTAATCGAAGCTGGTATAATTATATATCGAGACAAGCTGTAAAAAAATTTTACTTTATTGTACATTAATAGAAATCTATCAAATATTTAATAACCAATTGTATTTACCTACGACAAAGCTTAAAGTCTATATTAATGGTAGATAGCCTCCAGAATTTTCTAAGTTTTTCGTTATGTATGATACGTTCCAATTCACTATTCCAATCTGAGCTATCGCGAAAGAGACGAACAGCTTTATCAAGGCTACTATAATATGCTTCTCTGAAATTGAACAAAAAAAGTATAAATAATTTGACAGATTTTGATGTTAGTTTGAAATATTTATTTAAAATACTAACTCATAATCGTAAGCAAATAATAATTGATGTCTGCTAGGGAAAGCATGATGTAACAACACTTGTAAAAGATTCTTCCCATCTCCAATAGGTGAAAATTTAAAAGAAAACGACCATGTCCGTAAATTCTAAAATCCATAATGTATCTTTCAATAAAAATGAGTAATGCAAAAATTGATATACTGTTGGTAACAAAGTATGAAAAATAATTACTTTACAAATAATAAATATCCCTTTCACTTTAGATGGTACAGTATTTCCAGGTACCAATTTTCTTTTCTTCTCTCCTATGGTTATATAAATATCTTCTATGTTCGTTAAGCATGTGTCCATATATCCATAAAGATGATTTTGTTGACGAGCCACATCCTACAAGTAAAATATTCTGTTTTTTTATTTTATCCTTTAAACAATAAACAAACAAAAACTGCAATTTTAGAAATACATTTGAACTTTATAAGTCACTAAAAGATTTACTTACTTCTCTACCTGCGTCATCAGCTGTAACAAAAGTGAGTTTGAAGTTTGTAACAGATAGAATACCAGATGTTCCTTGGTTTAAATCACTAACAGGTGAAAACATGAGAACATTTTGTGCTTTGGTGATCAAAATTTCACCGGGTAACAATTTAATATTGTTCTCAGACAAAGAATTACGTCGACTAGAACCTAACGGCTATACATAATACATTAAATTATCATTAAATTCAGCAATGAACAAAACAAATAATTATAATAACGCTAAATTAAATTTCAAAAATTTAAGATTGAGGTTATGTTTAAATGTTTACATAAATGGATTTGACAATTACCTGCATTTCATGTTCCTCCAGACCAACATAACTTATAAAATTATTGCAGCTTTTACTTTCCATCGCAAACGTTTGAACGATTGCTGTTGATTAATATAAACTAAAATCATAGAAATTAAAATCCGCTCAGTGTACAATTCTGCTTTTATTAGATTCCTCTTAATTCCATTCTTGTCTGATCCCGTAAATTATCATCGTGAATTGAAGGCACGACATTTTTGTGTTTGGAGATATTCACTTCCCAGTTTGGAACGAAATCCTGATACAAGCTCGTGTTTCAACCATCCTGAACAATCTTCCCTACCGTTTCCTCTTGGTCCACTGCTTTCGCATTCGGTCATTGCTATAATTCTTCAGTTCGTGATTTTCACCATAACAGATAATTACACATTATGTAACATGGGTTTCAGTTATATATTCTAGCTTTATTAGAATAGAACATTCTTTTTTATAGTTTGAAATAAAGTTGGAAACATAATAATAATAAATATTTATTAATTAATCATATGTTTTAGTATAAAAAAAATTACAATTCATTTTTTATTTTCTTTTAATTCAATTTTTTCTTGTTAACTTCCATCCTTAATCAATTTTTTTCTCAGTTACTTTATTTTGTTATTACAATTATTAATATTTCTAATGTGTAAATTAATCAAATTGAAGAACACTTAGATCTAAGCTTTTACTTCTGTTTTTTAAATGAGCTTGAACAATGTGCAACAACTGTGGTCTTTGCAAAAAATTGTAGGCAAGAGACAATAAATTTAGTGTTTTAGTTTGAATGGAAGAAACACCACTAGAAAATAAATCATGACCTAATTCAAGAACTGTGCCAAAATCACATTCATCGGCTGCGATTATTGCTAATCTTATTATTTCCTCTAGTTTTGCCACCCATATCTTCTTAGCCTCAGGTGTAAGAGTATGTTCTATTTGTTCTAGAATTTTTTGTAGCTCATCTATAATAAACACAACAAATTAATTATATTATAATTTATTTAGTTAATTTCTTAGTAATAACTTACTGTCTGTTACAGCCAAATCTCTATATCCCAACTGAGTTTTGTTATTGTACGGTACTACAATACCAGCTTTATGAAAGGTTCTTGTAACAACTTGTTTTTCTCTGGCTTGCATATTTTCTGTTTTCTTTTCTAAACTTATCTTTTTCTTCTTTGCAAAGTTTTTTAGTTTCTGATGTAATTGTGCTATACGAATTTTCTCAAATGGAGAGGCCAATATCAGTTTCTCTCTAATATATTCACTGTAATATAAAGTAAAAGTTGTCCTAATTATTAATTTATTAATCATTAATTAGTAACTCCTTTTATTACTTACTTAAGTGAACTAAATATATTTTCTGCAATAGGTTCAAATATACAATTTAAAGTTGCTTTGTTCTTAGCTACAAATACAGGCGTTTCTAAGATATCATCTCTCCAATAACCAAAATGTAAACCATCAATGCCATTATCTTTGATAATTGTCTACAAAAAGTTTATAGTTAATTAATACATGTCATATAATTATAAAACATTTTATGTTATAATTTTCTTACTTGAAATTCTGGTGGATCATAATAATACCTCCAATGACATAACAGTGCTTCTTTATCTTTAATTTTGCAATTTACAAATCCTTCTTTGAATATGTCATAAGGCCCTACTAATTGCAAATGAAGATCTTTTAATGCATTCAAAGGATCTTTTTCAGATATACTTTTGCAAAATTCATAAAATTGAAAGAAATCTTCTGGCATATCAGTGAGAAATAAATGAGAAATAATTGTTTTGGCAATAGCTGAAGGTATCTTATCATTTTCAATATTAATGTTGGCACCTTTTAACACTGATCTAATGGTGATTAGATTGTTTAGATTTTTTACAGTCTCTGTATGACTTAAATTTTCAGATATTTTAATAACTTTGCAGAGATTATCATTATTCTCTGGGATATTATTTTTTATAGTAGATACAGCACTGTGCAAATCTTCATAAAATATTTCATTATCTTCTTTCTGTAGTTTCTTTGCTGGAAAACTATTTGATTCTTGATTGATATCTTTCTTCTTTCTCTTCTTACTTATTGCTGTATACTTTACTCCTTTTCCTTCTTCCTACATAAATATTTAAATGAAAATTGAAATAAAAAATAAAATTATAATATAGCAAATATTAATAACATAAATTAATATCGAATTAATAAAGTATTTTGTTATAAAGCAAGTATGTGTACAATATAAAATTTTAAGTAAAATAGATAAAACAATATAAAATTCATACTATTTCTTTTGTAGGTGGATGTTTGTATTTCTTATGATGAACTGCATTTTTTTGATAACATTTAATTCCATATTTACATGGAATTCGCGTGTCATTTTTATAAACTTTAAATTGCTCTCCTTCATTGTCTGACATCTTTTTTTTTTTTTTTTTTGTTT